AGCAGCAAATTTCCTATTACCGCGCCTCAAGTCAGCTGCCAGTCAATCGAATGAAGAGAAAAACTGAGCTAAGTCAGCTATTTACCTCGCATTAACATCAAATTTTTAGAACTGAAGCTTTGTATCCTTTACAGAAATTTATAGTTGTTGAGAGGATAGCAAGACACTGGGCTTTGTAGCGTTGTTTTCGGTTTGGCCCACACGCTGTTACATGTATTTGCAACCAATTCTAATTAGCTTTGGTTTCGGTTTTACGACGACCAATTGAAAACCGCTCTCTAAATGTCAACATGCATACACTCTTTCTTTTTTATAAGAATGTATTTTATATGAATATCGAGGATGAAATTTGCAGAATGTTAAGAATATTTTAAAAAACCCGAGGCTGAGATTTTGAAAGGAATATTTTTTTGTGTGTGAAAATATTGAAGGGGCGCAGCCAGGATAAAACATGGTAAAAACTTAAAACGATCTCGGGCTGAAACGATTGAAAAATTACAAGCTTTCGACTGCCTGAACTAGTCGTCGATGAATAAAAATGCGTGAAATTGCGGAATAATAAAAATGCAAATTATGAATGCATACGCTATAATCTAAGAATATTCACAAGCCTAAAATCGGGAGAAAAATAAGAATATTCAGCCTCAGCCGGAAAAACAATATTCTTATATAAAAAAAAAAGAGTGCATAATCAATGATAGGTCAAAGATTTAGGTAATGTTCATTATTGGGAAATTACCGAGATAATATAAAAGCAATTCTCCTAACAAGTACTCTAATGACTGTACGGAAACATTAGAGAGAATTTCAGTGTTGACCAGCTGGCTTGAAGGGGCAGTATAAAGGGTTAATCAGTAGATTTAGAGTTCACCTCTCATTTTAGCGAGATCAATTTTAGTTGTGACTGATACCTCGTTATTTCTTGGCCCATGGTAGTCGCGTCCTTTTCCAGCCTCTCCAATTCCGGAAGGGTAGAGTCGCTAAGAGAACTGTAGCTCAACCAGCTGTAACCGGCAGTACCGATAGCAACAATACATATAGGAATGCTCACCCCACTGAAGCTAGCATCACCGAGAACACCACTAGATGGAGGAGTGGCCACGTTAGGAGCTGGACGAACTATAACCGAACCCAAGCAGAGGAAAAATCCGCCAGCAGCAACATAAGGGGACCACCTTTGATTGCTTCCGCCCGTTTTGATATCCTGGCGAATGGCTTGAGTCAACTCTTGGAGTCTCACAGAGTGGCGACCAATCTTTTTCAGCAACTCCTCGGCGATCTTTTCCAAGTTAGCAGTGTTACCTGCTTCCCACTGTGGAATAAGCTCGGTGTCTATGAAGTTTCTGAACGGTTTCATTTCTTTCTCCAACGCCTCAAACTTATCGCGGTAGATCATTGCGTTTACCTCCAAGATCTTTGCCTCGTCGTACAATAAGAAGCTCTTGTAAAGGAAATACATAGACAGCAGAACCAATCCTTCTGTCCATGCTTCGGGAAGTACTTTATCTATCACCTTCGGTAGCTGTTGTATGATGCCTAGAATTTCACTGTCTGGTTTCTTGACTTCATTCAAGCAGTCGGCAAGGTTGCGCACAAACTGTGGATCCTTACCCAGGGGAAGTTTTGCCTCGAAGCCATTCCAGGCCAGTGTTACAGCAGCGCAGCTTTTTGCCTCACTGGATACTTGTGTTGGAGACGTTAGCAAGAAACCCAAGATCAAAACAACGCTGAAACGAAAGCGGAAGTCCATGACGCCTTGAGGAATCATCTCAGATTGGTGTTGTGTGCTTTTCAAGTTCAGGTGTGAATCGAGCAACTTCTGGTGTGAA